TAGTCATTATATAAGGTTATATAAGAATGTTATATCTGTGCGGTGAACACACCCTCACTTTTTTGACACATTGAATGAGAGTAAACTGGCAGTCTTTCTAATACTGCTCAATATTTCTTTAGGAGCATTGTGCATATCAAATTGTTTCAGTATTTGTTCAAAGATTTATTTCATTGTCTTAGAGAAAAACAATTTTTTGTTATGTGATGGATCTAAAAATGAAAAATTAAAATTGTTGGAATCGGCAAATTAAATCGTCCTCCGTATATTATACTTCAAGTAAACTTTATGCTCTAAAAAACTTGGGAAGATGTTTTGGTAAGTTTTTTTGCTATGGTCCATCAAAATTGTGAACTAAAAATAAATGTCATAGATCACTGAAGTATAAATACAGGATAAATTATAAGAGAGTACTTACCCATAATCAATTATACCAGAAAAAAAAAAAAAAAACTTTTGAAGTTATTTCCTTCGGATCACTTACTAAAAACACTGTTCTATGTTCAACGAGAGAGGTTTAAACTGGTTGTTGGTATGAAAGAGATTTTGAAGAACTTGCCTTGTTTAAAATACTGCTAATGTGTTTGTTGATCAAAATAAAAATAATATTTAATGGTTTTATACGATTCTAATTCCTTGAATAGTTTCTCAACGTAACTAGAGGATTAAAAATTAAATATAAGACAATAAAAATTCAGGTTTTTGTCCATTGGACGTTACAGTGTGCATAGGTGAAGAATGTTTTTATTATTAGAGACCGCAGTAAGGTTAGGCAATGCTAATTGAGGCCGCAACAATTCTTTAGATTTTACAGCTGCTGTTTTTATTTATCACTAAATAAAAACATTGTATTTAGAGTATTTGTCACTAGATAAAAACACACCTACATATGTATATCCAACTTAATTCTATTAATTTCCAAATTTTCATTACTTACATAGTTAAATATTAATTAATTCTAGCACATGACAATGTAAACAGGGGCAAGCTATTGGAGGCTTTACAGTCACTGAGGATACCTAATAAACTAATAAGGTTGATGAGGATGACCATAGAAAGAACAAGTTGTAAGGTCAAAAAAGTAGCTGAGCAGACTAACGCGTGTGCACAGCACCGAAAGTTGCCTCGCAACTTGATAACCGAAGTTAGAGATGGAAAAATAATCATGAGTTCAAATCCCGGTGAGGATTTATTATAATTTGTATAGGCTTTAACTTATAATTTGTAACTTATATCCCATATAGCCTAAAAGACAAGGGAAAAAAAAATAATAAAAAAAGAAGAATAACCCTGGTGGTACCATCTAAAATAGACTCACACAAACATGGCAAAAAATATGCTGATGATGTTATTACATGGAGAACTAAAGCAGCACAGTGCTGTAGAAGAGTTCCAGCAAGTAGCTCAAGAGTTAGGATTCGTGAAAACTACAGAAAAGACGAACTATATGAAAACATCTTGAGATACCAAAACTTTGTAATACATAAAATGATGAATAGACCGATCGTTTTGTATTGCAGTGAGATGTGGACTATGACCAAGGAAAATAGGAGAGCCCTGCTGGTCTGGAAGAGAAGAGTCCTAAGGATGATCTTTGTTGTCATCAGATAGCAGCAGCAGAGGTGAAAAATCAGAAGCAACATAGAACTAATGAAATTATATGGTGAGCCAGAAATCCTTAGTATTATTAAGAAGGGTAGACTCAGATGGTTGAGTTGTGTTGAAGAATGGATTTCAGTAGACTGCCAAAAATGATGCTCAATGGTAACCCAGGAAGCAAAAGACAAAGAGGTACCCGATGGTTGGTTGACCTGGAAGAAGACTTTGGAGATCAGAAATTGGAAGAACCTCTCTGTGGGCTGCGAGGAAAGGAGAAAAGTGGTGGCGGAGGACCAGGTGTTACATGGACAGTAACGTCCATTGAAGAAGAATGTCTGGGTTATAATGCAATAATAATGTTCTTAGAGATACATTTTTTTTTTTTTTTACAAACGCTTACATGTAATAACTGAATATGCATTATCATTTAAAAAGAGAACAGATTGTAATTGTTAAAGTGAAAAAAAAAAAAATGGGACCATTTTAAACTATTTTTCTATTTTTGGGGAAGAGGGCTCAGCCCAAAAATCCCTCTTCCCTCTCCCTGCTATGAGCAAAAAAAAAAAAAAAAAAAAAAGAATCAAAGAACAGTAAAGTGATGTTTCATGAGGAATTATTATTAATAATAAATCATTGGTTAATGAAGAATGATCGAAGAAAATCTCATTTAAGAATAGAACTCTTTCCATATATATATATATATATATATATATATATATATATATATATATATATATATATATATATAAAAATAAAAAATAAAAAAATAAAAAACCTATACCACTAACAACCCATGAAAGATCGTTCAGTACTATGTGAGGAACTATTGTTACAAGGCTAACGATTCTGCAGAGAGGTGATTGGGCTGAGATTACGCTTAATAGCCAGGTTATTCCCATATAATAGTGATTAATCTTATTGCTAAACACAAACAATGGACCTAATAATCTCTGTTTTCCTTAACCAAGATATTATATAAAATTCATATAAAGTATAATCTTAGGTATGTTAGGTAAGATTGTATTCTCTGATACTGAAAAAAAATACAAGACATGTTCCACAATAATGACCATGAACAGAAGTACCTGTCCATAATATTTGAATATTATTTTTTCTACAATCAAATAATCCATTATACATTCATCATTTTCCGAGCATCATTGTTGACAGACCTTGGAAACCTAGGCCAATTCTTAAAAATTAATTCCCACAGACAACACTTCAAAATAATCAGTTAACTCAAAATCATGCATATGAATTTAAAATAAACAGCAGATCAAATAAAAAAATGCCATTCAGTCAGCAAAGTAATCACATTATACAGAAATGATTACAACTTCAAAATTGATTTTAGGAGCTCACTTTTAACAAAAATATAACTAATTGACCAATAATATTGAATTTAATACAAGAATATAAATATTTAACTAAAATTGGTAAACTCACAAAACTATGTTGATTCAATAATCACCTAAAAGTCCACGGCCGTATTCCAACCATTTTCATGACATAATATTGTATTGTGTCAAAATGATAAATCTTAATAAACAATCCCAAAAATAATTCTTTGTAATGAAAAATAACAAAGACCAAAATTTTGAAATTCGAATGCGCTGTAGGTGATAAATCAGAGTAGGATACACATAAATTGTTAAAAAGACTAATGTCCTTTCATTAATAATTGGTTTCAATAGCTAATAATTAGCAAAAATTAGCCCTTTTAACAATTGATAATCGAACATCATTTTTTTCATGCAATCCATTCAAATTTCAAGGTTTTGGTCATTGGCATGTTTTATTTCAAGGCACATTTAAAAAAAAAAAAAAAATGTTTTATTAATTGTTATGCATATATATCGTTTATTAATCTGTTATTATATTAGTCATACTTATTGCTGTGGACATTGTTAATGTTATGTTTGAATGCAGTACTAGACTCAAGATCTAACATTGTTAATTATACCATTATATTTATTTGTACAGGAATTTCCTTAGACAAATAAAATAAACTATCTATCTATCTATTTCAAGGCACAGAATTATTTCCCAAACTTGCAACATAATATTTAGAGAAACTGACTGAAAATGGATAAGGTGCAAGGTATGAAAGGTAAATCAATTCAAATGAATAATGTTACGTGAACATAAGAGTAACTGCCACAAAAACTAAGGATTGTCAAGGCCATAAACAAAATTGATATGAATCAATCAGAAAACCAATTTCAAATAACTTTAAGAAGAACAAACAAAAAGTTAATACCATTGATAATCAACATCATTTTTTTTTTTTTTTTTATGCAGTCCATTCAAATTTCAATATTTTGATCATAGGCATGTTTTGTTTCAAGGTATAGAATTATTCCTCAGACTTCTGACATAACATTTAGAGAAACTGGCTGAAATTTGATAAATAAATTGCAATAAATGGTAAATCATTTCAGATGTATAACCTTAGTGTATAAAAGGCCCAATATGAGTTGACTAAAATCACTTATGAATACATTCTGAATTGCTTTTATAGGATTAAAATTAAGTAATAGAAAAATAGAACCATGAATAAAATCTTATGCAAGATAATTTTTAATGTAAAAAGAAGGAAGTGTAGAATAGTGTAATGAAATTACAATTAATTACATTAAACTACATAGGAAAAAAGTACCCGATCATTCAAAAGGATAATATAAACTTCAAACACTAATAGAAACTGGGATTAATAAAATAAAACATGTAATAAAATACATACCACTTGTAGAGATATGTCATTGGCGAGAATTCCTGGTTCACAAAACAAAAAAACAACTGATAAACGTTTATCAAAAGCGGGCGATTTGACAAATTAATAACATAAACTGATATCGATGTTAATCACAATATCGATTATACAGATCGATGATGAAACCCTGGATTTCTTATTTAATTATTAGTAATTATATTATGAAATAAAAATGTTCATTAAACATTACTAATAAATGTATGTCAGACCTATTCTTATCCAATTTAATCGGGTATCATTTACATTAGAGAGAAATAAATCTAAACATTTTAGTTAAAATTAGCCCGTCCATTCAAATATATAGAACTAGTACATTTATTATCAAAATAGTACTAAAATGAAAGCTTTATAAATTATTTAAACACGAGTATACATATTTTTTAAATAATGTGCTGGATATTTCTTATTCCATTAATATAAATCTGTTGTTATATCGATTTTGTAAAATTTTTACATTGAAATTGATTATTTACTTTTCTTGAGTTTCTTATGGAAAGCTTAATTATTTTTAATGGGTAATATTCATATTTCTCCCAAAAATTAATTATTTTTCTATCTGAGTAATAATATTTTTTATTTATTTTTGATTCATTTTTAAGTGGCATTGGAGATAGTGTTGGAAACAATGATTTCTGTGTGCACTTTTGTTGACATGAAGATAGGAGCTGATCTCTTTATTATTTGAATATTTTTTCTATCCAATAAATTAATATTAATTAGTACTTAATGTATTACTAACTGAAAATAGAGGCAATAAAATTTCTATTTTTCTACAATTATGGAATAATGCTTCTTAAGGCTATTACATATTTTACTCTTTATTATATCTCAGGTACATAACATATTTTACATTGTAATGTGATTGTTCTATGAGGAATATATAAAAGTTATTCTTCTTTACCTTTTTTTTTTTGGCATTGTAATCCTTTGTTTTCTTTGTTAATGAGTGCATTGTTTTATTGAAGGCACCTTTGCTAATGAAATACAAGAACCTGAGGAAGTATTTGGAGATGAAGGAAGTAATTTGTCATTACCATGTCAAGGGGAAAAGACAGTTACTGGACCCGTAACATGGAGACATCAGGGAAGAGTTGACGAGAGGGGTAACCATGAAAGTGTGTTGCCTGATAACTCCCTATCTTTGATAGACTTAAGCAAAGAAGATGCAGGCATCTATACTTGCTATTTACCAGATGATACGATCATAAATAGAATTATGGTCAATGTAAGAAGTAGGTACTTCCTATAACTTTATTTGTTCGATACGTTCTCTTTTAATAACTGGTGAACTATTTTTAAAATTAATGAATGAAACTGATTGATCTTGGTGGTAAATAACATATTGAAAAATATATGAAAGTGCTTAGTTTATATTTGTCATTGTCATTGTGGTAAATGCCTTGTTTTTTTGATGAATTCATATTTTTCTATAAGATATGATCTAAATATCTTTAGTAAAAAATCGTTTCTTATTGCCTGTCAGTTGTCAAACGTGATTCACTGTAAGATGAATGTTAATTCGAATTAACATGTTTTTCTGTTTAATAGAAGCAGTCTTTCGAATAAATTGAATGTTTATTTACTTTTTCTTGCTTCTTTATCAGTTCTATTGTGCTCATTTGTTTAATCTGTTTTTAACAACATAGCTTATGTTAATTAAGTAAACAGAATTGCTAAACAAATATTTATTCGATCTCATTATATTTGTTCTTTCTTCTGATAGAGTGGAATTACCATTGTGTTATATTTTTTTATTTATTACTGTTGAATTGCAGAAAAATAAACATTATTTTAAGTTTACAACTGTTACTTATTGTTATCTTATTCTGTAAAATAATTAAAATTTTATTATCACATTGTGGGGAGGAAAATCACTATCAAAATAATTTACTTTTTATTAAACTTTTATTTCAAACAGATAAATTGACATTAAAGCACTTAAACTTCTACTTCATATTATATTTTTCTATGATCCATTAATGTGCGAGCTTAGATGGTTAAAACTGAAAAGAGGTAATATTGTAGCCAATAAAAATATTATATTGCTGTTAGCGATGATAATTAGTGCTATCAAACAATTAATTTTTTTCTACATTTTGTGTGCTAACAAATAACATAAATATATATATATATTTATTTACAGCAGTCAAGTGACACAATTTTAAAATATGATTTCACTCTAGTGTTTTAGGAATAAAATTAAAACGAGAGTATAATTTTATAAACAATTGTTGTTTAAATGTTTTAAGTTTTATGGAAGATTTTCTAGAAAATTAAATCTTAAGTATAAATTTCTAAAAGATACCATTAAATTTTGTTTAGTAGTATTATCATTAAATTTATTATTAAAATTACATTAATTTTATACAATTTTATTAATTACAATTTTCATTTTTCCGTGTTTTTGGTTTTAAAAGAATTCAACTAATACTCTTATGAAATAGAGTTTTTTTTTAACTTAAAAGAATAATTCTAATAGCTCTATTAAAAATCTCTGCATGCAATCCTTTCCTGTCTACCTTAATTACTATTCTGTTCGCTTTTCTCTTCTCCATTTAAGGATAGATATAAGCAGACATAAATATTAAAAAGAATGATCTCATTAGATAAAATTAGTTGTTGAAGATATAAAGTGTTAATTAGAATCATAGACAGGTGCTAAAAGAAATATAATAAATTTATTTTACTAAACTTATTATCCAGCATGTTTTATTTTCTTTTTGTCTCTCTTGGAATTATCTTTAAATATTTGAACTATGTTCTCTTTCATTTATATATTTTTTTCACTTGAAATCGCAGTGACCTTAATTATTCTAATCATCACAACATAAAGTTTTTTTTTTTTAATTGTAATTTTCTTTAGAAAATAATAAACTGAAAATCAAACTCAAAAATTCATAGTTAAAAGGTTCTAAATTTTATATAGTAAGAGTTGTATTAAGAATAATAGTAATTAGTCTGGAAGAAAAATAAAAGAACTGTATAATGATGTTTAAGTGGTCCTTGAAGTTGAAAAAATAAAAGACCAAAGACAACAAAACAATGGCAATACTCGCACAATGGTGCCTTAAGTGATAAATTTCTTATTCTTTTTCTTGACACGGGCTTATATTTAGTAGTTGTGTATACTATATAATTTAAAAAGTGAATTTAGCTTAGATCATTCATATAAATAAACTTGGATCAATGGAAAAAATATATATTTTTCCATGTTGAGGAGGAGTGGTTCAAGCTTAAAGCTTTATTCTCTGCAGATCTGTCAACGTTTGGAACCATATTATTTATTTATAATTTGAGCATTAATGACACTCTTCAACATCAATTTATTCTCTGTAATGATCTTTAATTTTTTTTATTGATTGTAGTTTGTATTTATTCATATTATCATACATTGATTAAAAGTATTAATTATATATATATATATATATATATATATATATATATATATATATATAATATAACCTAATGGTGGACCAACCTCCATTTTACAAATCATACAAATGAAAAAAGTGTATGAAAGACAGAAATAGTTAAAGAGAATAATTGAAAACTTACATCCTTAACAGCTAGAAAAAATCTTATCTGAATGATGGGATTAGTGCGCAGTATACAGAAACTTGTCTGGCAGTAGTGCTTTGCGGGCATTTCATCTTATATGTAAAATTAAACATTAAACACGGCTACTTAAAACTGTTTTATATAATAGAGAGATAAATATATTTTTAATTTTTCTCTCTCCTTGCATATGTTTAAAAAATAACTTCTTTTTGTTTCAGTTTATGCTTAGTACTTAAAAAGTCCTTTTGTGATATTAATACTGTACTTCAGGAATCCCTATGTTAAATTATTAACTGCTGCAAATACTCTTATTGAATTCATCTTCATAAAAATAATATTTATTTCATTTCATTTTGATAGTTTTGACTGATTTAATCTTTTTCATTTTCAGCTCCTCCTCCAGCTCTTGTAAATGTGACAATAGTTCCTTCAACGATTTTAGCTAATCTTTATTGGGAGGTGGAAGACAGTGGTGGCTACCCAATTACTCATTTCACTGCTCAGTATCGATTGAAGCATACACCTCCCGGACATTTGCCAGACCCTTGGCACAGGGCTATGCCACCCAAAATCAAGCCTACGGCAGTAAGGGCTTATTTTTTATCTATTTATTTATTTATTATGATCTACAACTATTAAAAATGAATGAAGTAAATAAGTTATCTGATTAATATGACAGTGATTCGTTGAATTAATGACCTGTTACTAGTAGACCAATAGTAGTTTTATACTAGAAGATTGTAAAGCGTTGTTATTTGCAGCCTCTTTATTGAGAATCGATTGGGAGGTTAGGTTAATAAAATTAAAGGGTTTTGAGTAAAGAAGAATATTACTTAATATTTTGGATTGGATAAGGGAGGAATTTGATGGTTTGGTTAGGCTCATTTTTTGGGGGGGAGTGGCCGAATGGGCTAAAGCGTGTGCACAGCACCGCGAGTTGCCTGGCAACCGGATTACAGATTTGAGAAGATTTAAAAAATAGGAGTTCGCGTCGCGGTGCCGCAGGGGATTTTAAATTCCCCGCCTTCACCCTCCGTCCCGGGAAAATCCAGTATAGCCTGAAAGGCGAGGTAGAGAACAAAAAAAAAAAAAAAAAAAAAAGCTTGGTTAGGCTCCAAAGCTTGATTCTGTATTTCTTCATTTTTATTGTGGATAGATACACCCAGAAGAGGATCACATGGCGTAAGCTGCACCATCCAAATTTTTGAGAGGGAGACATTTTTTGAAGATATTGAAAATGTTAGAGGAGGGGGAGACATATTAATAGGGTTATGAATTTTTTAAAGGAATCAGATTTTTCTAGTATATTAATTGGAGAGAGCTTTCGAACCAAGAAACAAAAGAAAAATTACACTTCAATTTTTATAATTTTACGTTCATTCGCACCTTTTTTTAAACAGAGAAGAGTAAAAGATTTTCTCGGATTGGAGATTGGTACTTTGATTGTAGAGCAGGTTTTACGTATATCTATGGTAAAGTGTATAATTATCAAGCAGTATTTTGAGCTCTTAAAGTATTAACAGAATTTTCATCTGTAATTTATGTTCTTATTTTATACATTTATATTTATTTTATTTAAATGTATTAGACTTACTCGTATCTGGTTTTCGTTCGTGACTGATTCGATTTCAGATTAGAAAAAAAACACTCAATCAATGATGAAATACTTATAAAACAGAAAAAAAAAAGATGAAGAAGCTAAAATGAGTAAAAGGATAGTAAAATAGGTGTAAACATTTTATATAAAATACACTGTTGGATAAGATTGTTTGATACTTTTTAGAAAACAGTTTTAATGTCTTCCTGAATGAATATTCATCAAGTTATAAAGTACCATTGTTTTCAGTTTATTATGTATACATATGCTCATAATAAAAATACATTAAATGATTCTTAAATTAAATTTTATGCACTTATAAATATGCATGTCTTTTATAATGGAATATTTAATATTAATGTTAGTTATTCATGAAAAATATTTATCTCATTTATTGTTTCTCAGTTTTTTTTTTTTTGTCAGTAAGTTATATTTTCCTTAATTAAATGAAATGAATGAAAATGAATGTAAAAATAATTTTATTCTGGGACTACTGTCCCTTAAGAATAATAACAGAGTTACAAATTTATGTATCTTAGTCTGACATAGTAAAAATACCAACTAATTTATTGTTAATTGTTATTTCAATTGTGCAATGGATTGAAATTAAACATTGTATAGATGCAAGTAATTTTACATGTTAGGGGAAGTTTGAATGTGGAGTAGGTGTTGGAACAGGAGTTGTTTGAAGGAATTTGTGAATGAGGATTGACGCATGGAGGTAGGAAGTGAGTTCCATAAGGAAGCAGCACGAATGACGAAGGATTTGCTGAAGGAGGAAGTTTTATGGAAGGAACCTATATATAAGTCTTTAGATTGAGACCTAGTATTGAGAGAGTGGGTAGAGGAGCGCAGAGTAAGGAGTTCCAGGATGTAGGGAGGGTTTTTGGTTCTGAAGACTTGGAAAAGGAAAACGCCAAGAAGGAATTGTCGTCGGGAAGTAGGAAAAAGCCACTTCAACTCAACATACCATAGTGAAACATGTGAACGCCTGGGGATCCCGAAAATGTATCTTATGAAACAATTCATAAGTCTTTTTAGTCTCATTTCCAGCCTGGCAGATAGCCCTCCATACACCAAGCAGCCGTAGTCGAAGTGGGGGAATACAAGGGAGGTTACAAGGAGCTGTCTGGTTTTTAGAGGAATACAATCACGGAATCTTAGGAGTTTTTTAAGGGCAGTTATGGATTTTCGGGTAACCTGGGAGATATGATTATCCCAGGAGAGGTTCTGGTCAAAGGTTACTCCTAGGTTTTTGACTGTAGGGAAAAAATGGATGGGATGGTTATTGAGGTAAAGTAGAGGAAAGTAAGGAAGGGAGCTGATGAGATTAATTCTGCATCAAATCCAATTATTGAACCATTATTTTGAAGACCTGTCTTATCTAAGTGAGAAAAATAAGCAAATTCTCTGGAAAAAAAATTATATGAAAAGTAAACTTTATTTTGTGCATAATTTCAACAGTAAATACAATTTATGATAAATTATACCCATTATAATTCGAAAGATTCCTAAATTCCCTACAAAACAAAATAAATAAATAAAAAATTGGACCATTATTATCTAAGATGCAGTCTATTTTAATTTGTACGCATATTTTGGTTTACTCTGAATGAATCATTGTTATTTACTGAAGAAGAATACTGGCTAACTATTTTGTCTTAAAAAAATAAGAAAAGTAAATTAATAAAAAAACTTGTGCTAACAGGAACTGCAGAACTCAGGACTAATAGGATAAGAGCACAGTACCATTAAAAAAATTATTATAGCATGGATCGTAGATAAGATTGTTTATTGAATTATTAAGTTTAATTGCTTATGACTGTTAATATATATATATATATTTTTTTTCAGACACAGATCGACATTTACCAGTTGGAACCTAACTCGACATATGTTTTCCAAATTTGGGCTAACAACAAACTCGGCTGTGGGAAAATTGTTGAGTTAGAAGCGACGACCAAACATGATAATCAAGAAATAGGTATCAATATTTCATATTTTGTTTTAATTATTTTCATACTTTTAATTAATGGTTTGTTAAAAGTATATTTATTTTGTTAATACTTTAGAACCCTATCAAGTATTTAAATAAACTGAAGTATTAAATAAGAAAATGAATTTCCAGTCCTTAAGAGAAATGTATTTAGTAAAACAGTTTAATGGGTGAAAAATATTCAGGATGCAGTAATTTTTAATGTTTTTATTAGTACTGATGTTTCAACCCAAACATGTAAGTCATCATTAGGGCGTGTTTGTGTTGTACCGTCGGCACTAATAAAAACATTAAAAATGGCTGCTTCCTGAATATTTATCACCCATGATATGTAGAACAGTTTAAGAAAAAAAATTGTAAGTAATTTTGGGAGGAATTTTACTTCATTAAATCCAAGAACTAACTATTTACTTGAAAAACTCACAGAATTTAGTTGAATTCATAATTATTTTTTTAAAAAATGTGTTTATTTTCACTAATGATGCCTTAGTTAAATTTTATAAGCAGACTATTACTTGTAATAAAACAGAGGATCACTAACAGTTGTACAGTTTCAATCATAATTATGATTAAAACAATTAATCACTATGCTTATTTTTTAATCTCTAAATTAAATTTTTTAGAGCTTGCAAAGCATTTCTTGGAAGGTGCGGAAACATTTGACACAAGAGTGTGGGTAGCAGCGGTTGCAGTCGTCATGGGGACCCTCATAGTTTTGGCCTCGGCCACAATCTATATTCTTTACAAAGAGTCACATCTTGCCATTGGTAAAAAATATTTTTTATATATAACATAAATAGGATATCAAAAATAGATTTAAGGTATAACTTGATGAGTCTTAATATGTGTCTTTTTAATGCACATGCATCGGTTTTATATCCTCTCCACATCACTAGCTTTCTCTTTGTTCTGCCAACAATAACTGATCTAATTATTAATGGATGAATTTTCCGGTTGCAAAATTTTGTTTCTATTTTTTTACCTGATATAATATTTTTGTAGCAATCAAAATGGTTGATAATAATGCTGAAACAGATAAAACTGCAAGAAAAATACAAAAGAGAAAGGGGTAGTTATTGAAAAATATTGATATATCTATAATCATTAAAAAATGGTATGGGAAAATTAAAATAAGCGAAACCCTTTAATTTTTTTTTTTTTAAGTCAAAGAAAAGAAGCTAATTGACCATATTTAGTGTTAAATTCAAGAAAGAATGAGTTGAAAATACTATATAACTTGACTAGCTAATCTCATTCAACAGAAGGACCGAGAAGGAAATAGATAAGCAAATATCGATAGCATGGAAAAAATATTGGTAGTTTAAATGTATTATGAACGAAATTTCTTAGTACACTTAGGATCAAAGTTCTCAAAACGTGTCATGCATGTCTCACCTATGTAGCCCAAAAACATGGACCCTAATAAAGAATTACACAAGTAGACTTCTAAAGTCGCTCAGAGAAAAACGAGAGGAGCATATTTAATATAAAAGTAAGCAATAGGATATAAAATGAGGATCCACTGCTCAGGACATATAAGAGTTAGTTTCATAACTAAAATGGCAATGGACTTGACATGTTGCATGGATGGCTGATGAAAGATGGACGAACAGGTGGCCGAATGGAGGCCACTGTATACAAAAAGAAAAAGAGGTAATTACTGACAAGATGGAGAGATGATATTGCAAATGTAGCGTAGCAGGGATAAGTTGGATGAGAAAAGTGGACCCTAGAGAAGATAAGAAAAACCAGTAGGGGGCTTTACTCAATTTTTGGCTTAGTTCAGAAATTCAAAAATAATAATAATTTTTTTTCCTGTAAATTGTGTTTTTAGTTTTGTTAATCGATACATTTATATTCTATCCCCATTCCCACATATATTATAACAGTAAGTCTCCGAAATCGGTTTTGTACCAAATATAAGCTCCTGTCATGCTCAAATACCATGAATGGGGTACCGTTGGATTCAAAATTTCACGGGTTAGCGAATTGTACTCTCCGCTTTTGTTTTTCTTTCTAAAATAAATATAGTCAATACAAACATTTTGCTAGGCTTCAATACTGGAACGGTGGTAAGTTTTTAGATCGATACGGGACAAATTGGGCTTTGAAGATTTTGATGCGTACAGTAAGACCCGGATAGTTCCGAAGGAACTATTGGGCTCTGCATTTTTAAGCTCCAAAACATACTATTTTCGAGATAACACAAGGCAAAAGGTTTGCATCCACACAACCTTACATTAATTCTAGTTCTGTCATTGAATACACGTCTCATTTCGTCGACTTGAGGCTCCTATGATCATGAGAAGAGGAGTTTATATTATTTATCGAATATCTTTTTGTCTGATAAGCCACATCATTGTTTCTTCACCAAATCCCAAGATTGAACCACCAATTTTTGAAGGTTTCATTCTCTTTCAAGTGGGCAAAAGAGTCTAATCACCTAGAAAATTCAGACAAAAAATTATGAAAGAAAAGAAACTTTATTTGCTAATAACTAAAAAATTACACACTTTTCCCTTGGTTAGTTATGTTCATGGTTATATAAAAGATTACTGAATTTCCTACAAAAGAGAAAAAAAAAATCATCAAAATTGGGCAATTTTTAGCAAAGATACATCTTATTGAAATTTGTAAACATGTTGGTTCCAAACATTAATGAAGTTTTAAATTAATTTTTGTTTCCTTTGTCAATTATATCTAGCGAGAAAGTAACAATTGATTTCTTTTATGATACATTGCATTTTTTTATTTTCTTATTAATTTATTATTTGATCACTAAACAGTATACTGTACGAATTTTTGCACTGGTCTACTAGTTTGTATTATTTTAAGACAGAGGGAAGTATCATTTTATATTATTATTTACGAATAAAGGCTTTATTTATTTAGTGTTAAATTAACCTTTTTTTTATTTTTAAAAACTCCAAAATGAAATGAGTTTAGCTATTAATATTTTGTGATTTTTCATCCTGTTCTTAAATTTTTATTAAAATATATAAGTAAATAAATTATTTTATTAAAAGTTACTTCTTTCACATCGTACCATTTAAATTTCTAACATGTAGGCTCTTCCCTCAGCATTCGTTACATCGCTGTGTAATATATGTGGATGGCCACTTATTTATTCGACAGGTGTTCTTTATCCAGCTCAACTGACATCCATGGAGGTTATCTTTCAGAAGTGGATATAACCTTCACTTTCATTACTTATTCAATTCCTTCTTGTTTCATCTGCCACTCCAATACCACACCATAAAACGAAATAAACCGTTTATTTCTCATTACATGAAGTAGATTTTCCGTTCAATTTTTACATCATGCTTAAGACACTGATGTAATATTCTAAATAAAGTTTTTAGTTCTTTTTTATGTAAATGTCCGAAGCCAAAATTAACAAGAAAATCTAAAAACTGCACATTCTAATTAACAAAGATGCAATGTTCTGAACAAGATTTTTAGTTAGTTTTTATAAATACATGTAAAGCCAAGATTAACAGGAAAAGATAAAAAACATACATCCTAATTAAATTGTACTTGCAGACTTTTGCAGTGTGGCTGTCGATATATTTTCTTTTAATTAATGTCATTTAGCTAGAAGTTATTTCTCTTTTTTTTTTTGTATATTATTTTTTTCTTAATAGACATTTTATTGTATACTTACTATTATTTAAAGGAAGTAGATGGTCCGGGGTGGCTGTCACAAATAGGCTAAATAGTGTACAAAGCTATTTTATTCAAAGCCAACATTTCGACCCGACTTTGCAGGTCTTCTTCAGGGAGGTGTGTTCAGCTAGGAGTTTCACTTGGAACTGGTCTAAGTGAAACTTCTTAGAACTGGCCAGTTCTAAGTGAAACTCCTAGCTGAACACACCTCCCTGAAGAAGACCTGCAAAGTCGGGTCGAAACGTTGGCTTTTAATAAAACAATGTTGCCACTATTTAGCCTATTTATGACCGCCACCCCGGACTATCTCCTTCCTTTATAATGTAACGGTCAAATATTAAATATTCAATATTACTATTGAAGAGAAGCTTGGGTGGGTGTGTCAGAAAACACAAAGTAAAAATAAATGAATTATATTTATTTTTATTTTTGCCTCTTCAATTATTCACTACAGTCCTTCATTAATCCATAATTACTATTATTTAAGTATGATTGTATAGAACAGGTAATTTTCTAGGTATCACAAGTTTACCAGAGTAACAAATGTCAGATTATTAAAATTATTCCATTCTTCTAAAAATAAGATATATGTATATATAATGGCCTGTTTAATTGAAACCATTTTTTTTTTTTTCCAGTTACTGAGAAAGAGGTCGAAGCCTTGGAACTAATACCTAATATTATCCTCAATCCTGGTTATCATGACTACGGCTATCATGATTATATGAATGGAGATCCTGATGAGAATTCTAATGACACTGCACCATTGAGACTAAACAATAATACCGTTGTTAGGCCTATTAGGATATAGGTGAGTGTGTTGATTTTATAATTAGTAATAATAATAAGTTGATTACAGGGCTACTATGATAGTAAATATCATAGAGTTTAAGTAATTTACATCCGTTATTATTATTGAGGAAACATTACCTCAGATCTTTTAACTTTAAGTGCTTAGTATATTTATTGAAAGCTCTAATATCATTACTCCTGAGAAGAAAAACATACTCCAAAGTTAATTGTTTATGAAAGACCGCTAGGTTGTACTAGTCGACATGAACTAGACCGTAGACAGGAGCTTCCTCGAGGGATTAGTTATTGATATTGGGAAGAACATTACTGTGGAGTCCTTGAGACTCATCTATTATCACCTGTATAGCAATCGACCATGTACTTAAATAGTGCATGTTAATTATTATGTATTTATTTGTTCAATTTTAATATTTACGTATTCAATTTTAATATTTACATATTCAATTTAAATAGTTATATATTCAATTATAGTTTTTTGTTTCTTTTATGCTCCAATATTTATCTAGTCATATCTTTTTGTTTATATTCATAAAACTATGTTGATATGTGAATGTTTTGATTTTAGCATTTGACACTTTTTTTACTTTCCTACCTATACTAGGTAAGAAAAGTATTGCGATCGGGTCAAATTTCCGATATGTGGTTTTCGACGGATCTATACGTTTCAGAGCCCCCTGAGTCCGAAAAACACATTTTTAGCCACTGATTTATCTGTCTCTCTGCCAAGATTTTCTCGGGAACTACTGAACCGATTTTGTTGCTTCTTTTTTTATTTTGCAAGGTTTTGACTACTGATGCCTGTGACAGAAATTGGGTGCTCCACAACAAATTAAAAACATGTTTTTCTATTAACTGTAGCACGAAAACGGCTCTTTCCTATAATTTTCTAATAATTGTCCTTTCAATTTTTGTACATGGACTAATTTCCTGAAAAAATTAAGAAAAAAAATTTATAAAGAAAAGAAAAATGTTTTGGAGCCTAACTCTGAAAAAGCCCCCTGAATCCGAAAAAAAAACACCATTGAGCCTGTTTTTTTTTTTTAAAGGTAATGAAATTCCCTACAAAACTATATAAAAATTGTTCATTTCAGACAACTATTAGCGAAATTATACAGCTATTGAATTTCCAATATAAGATTACGGGCACATATCCTGGTGTCAGAAAAGGATTAATGAGAGAAAAAAGATAACTTAGTGAAAGTAAGAAAATCTGTTGCCTGCATCACACAATCTTCACTATTACCTCTACTTTTAACAGAAATTATTGTTTGGCAAAATTAGGCTATGGCAAAAAGTTTTTGATCAGCAATATTAGAGGGTATTGAAATTTTTACACTGATCTACCTTAAGCTAGTTTACATTGCTGTAGTTTATCAAATAAATCGTACTCAAATCTTTTCTTTGATCAATTTTTAGGAAAATAAATCTAATTCAATTTTTTTGTTTCTTGATAGACATATTTAAAGATATAAAAACTTTTCTGAAATAGGTAGGTAAGTCGTGTGAGTGGACACAACAGATTTTTTTTTATATATGTAGATTTCTGAGGTTATCTTATCTTAGTCTATATCAGGTTTCCAGAACTTTTGAACCACGGGCCACATTGATATCTCCAATAAGTCCCATTGACCATAGCTTGTGATAAAAAAAAAATAAGTTTTTTTATTAATAACAGTTCAGTTTTGAAATGAGCTTTGTAAGAAAAAAAAAAACTCATGCAACAAATTTATTAACCCCGTGTTTGAATGATTTACTAAATTTCATATTTTTTAAATAGTTATTAAAATTTTACCATGTAATAAAAAAAAACTTTAGTGGGCCAGATTGGAATTGCTTGCAGGCTGCGGGCCTTAGTTTGGAGATCTCTGGTCTGTATCATTATCTCACCCGAATATGTATTGTGTAATAGTGATACTTTATTGTAGTTTAGGAAAGTTATTATATATGATTAGGGGAGAAGAAAAAAAATCTATATATATATTTTTTAATCTTATTTTATTGAGAAAAAATACATTTTGCCTCAATCAAGGGCATTGAGTATTTGTGATGTGAGAAACTCATTCATACAATATATACAACTAGTAGGCCCGTGCGAAAAATTCGCACAGCATATTGCTATCAAATGCCAAATTAATAATAAAATAAAATAATGCAACGTATCAAAATATAAAGGAATCAATTGTTACTTTATCCATAAATATAATCCACAAAGGAAACAAAATTAATTTAAATCTACATTTTTATTTGGAACCAACATATTTACAAATTTCAATAAGCTGTTTCTTTGCAAAAAATTGTCTGATTTCAATGTATTTTTTTTTCCTTTTGTAGACAATTAAGTAATGTTTTATATAATCATAGGAATAACCTAGGGAAAAGTGTGTAATTTTTTAGTTATTCGCAAATAAAGTTTCTTTTTTTTCATAACTTGTTTGCCTGAATTTTCGGGGTGATTGGAATATTTTTCCTGCCTGAAGGAGAAGGAAGCCTTCGAAATCGATGGCTCGATCTTGAGATTTGGTGAAGAATTAACGATGATATGGCTTACCGATCAAAATAAATAATATAAACTCCTCCTGTCTCGATCATAGAGACCTCAAGTCGACGAAATGTATTCAATGACAGTACTACAATTAACGTCAGGTTGTGTGGATTCGAACCCCATGCCTTGTGTTATCTCGAAAATGGTACGTTTTTGGGCTTAAAAACGCAGGATTCAGGAGGAGGGTCTTGCTGTAAGCATCAAAATCTTCAAGGTCCAATTTGTCCCGCATCGATCTACATATATCATATCACATCTACACATATCAGCAGCTGTTTTAGTTTAGTTTACTAAGTAGTTAAGGATTTTATGCTATTTTAATTGTTTGTATTCTTTAGAAAAACCTATTTTCTTATCAATATATTTTTTTTATTGTTTACAGATTCTAAAGGTAATGAGGCGGTAAAATATTGAGGATCTTATAAGGTATTCTTTTATTTTACTTTCCTGTCGTATTAACCGATTTCTTGCCCAAGATTCCAAAAAAAAAAAAAAATTGTCAACTTAGTTCAAGTCCTTGTTTTATAGTTACTATTACTTTTACTTTGTTATCGATTGATATTTTTTATGTACAAAAGCTGTTATCTGCTAATTCTTTTATTTTATAAATATTGTATTTTCCTCGTTATGCTGACTATTATTTTTTTAAACTATAATGCATTTTAATTAACAAGGCAATGTTTGAATATAGAATTTGTGATGTCTATTATTTATGGGATAGAGAGCTGTCCGAATAAATCAAACATTTTACTACTTGATACTCAAATGTATAATATTTTATTGAAAGTATCGTTATTATTATTAGTTTTAAGTTTGAATTATGTTTAAAAGTTATTATACTTTTGATTTTTTTCTCATTTTTAAATATTGGTTTTTATTTTAAATTATTCTTTTTGTAGTCTCATTGTTGATTTTCGTTATGTGATACTGTTTGGTTTTTGTTTTTTCTAGACCATTAGACATTTTATATTTTTTATACTTTTTTGTATATTATTTTTTTATTACTAAGGTTAAGTTTTAATCAAATTTTAATTTATGTTCATATTTTTTAAATAATCTTGTTTTTTTTTTATTTGTTGTACATATATAAAAAGGTATGTTTAGAAGAAGCTTGTGTGTAGTGCTTCTAAATAAAATAATATAAACGCAACTGTGTTAATAATGTAATAGAGCTTCTAATGGTTTCGCTCAATGTACAGCTCATGTCAGTCGGGATAATTCGATCTTTTCGTATACTATGCAGGTTTTTTTAATCCGTGCTTACCTTTCAGTCGGAATTTCATTTACGATTCTCCATTACGTGTTTTTTTTAAATAAACTTTGACGGGGAAGTATCCTTTCCATAATAAAATGCCTTCAGAAGGTTGTGTTGTTAATAAAATAATAGTAATACTAGTCATTGATGTGGTTGTCTTTCATTAGAATCCTAGGATTTTTTAATTTTTTTTTATTAAATTTTGTTCTTTTTTTTGTCGATTATCAAATTGATAAAAACTTTTTTAATCTGTGCATTTTAATTTTTTAATAGCCATATCACTGTGTGTTATCGTTAATAAGTAGTAGGATAGAAAATGTGTTTTGATAAAAAAATATGTAATAAAATAAAAATTTGGTAGGACTTGTATCTAGTACGATTAAGGTGATTCTTTTTTATAGTGTGCGCTCAAATGCTGTATAGTACCCTGTTAGTGTGCATATTTTTGTGCTGATTTATTTTCATACTGTACTAACAGAAGTGGAAGAATAGTGATATAGTCGAATAGCAATATTGAATTTGAAAAATAAATGAGGGGGGTGAAAGCACAGTGTCTGATAACTGTCAATAGTGGCCTTGGTGGGGGAAAGTTCAAATTAGAAGCGAGTAAAAGGATAGGTTTTATTTTCTAAGGGGATTTGTAAACGGTTCGTGACATTCATGCTATCTTGGAGGTAATGATTTTTTTGCTCTCGCCTATTAATTTTAGTCATGTGGAATTTTATCGTACCATGACATAAATTTTAACCAATAAAATTGTGCTATTACCACATAGCAAAAAAGAAATTAATTTCATTGGAAATATAAATATTATTGTAATATATATATGTGATATTTATTTCTAACAGATTGTTAGAAAAGAAAAGAAAAAAAAATAGCAGCTCATTACTTTCTCGGTCCGTTTTCTTAACGGACAAAAAACAGCCTGATATGAAAGTATTTTAATATGTAATTTCCTTTTCGATTATTGCTGTTGCAATGGCTAATATTAGAAGCAATAATTTTATTTTCTTACTATCTTAAATGCACAAATATAAGTCATAGAACAATAAAGTTGTTTGAATATTTAGACTGCGTGTTGGCAGGGTTGTTCATTTGGTATTTCTAGTTTTGTATATAGGAATGTAGGCGTGTAAGTAGGTGTATGTATTGATGAAAAAATCTTTCAGAACTCTTTTAATTATGGCAAATAACAGTACTTAAATTATTATTGAACTTCAGTTAACACTATTTTGATGTTCTTCTATGAACACACATTATTACATAATATTGTTAATCTTAAATTTTTGTTTTAATCATTGTTGTAATTATTACCTTGAAGAATTGTGAGAAACTTTATGCAGTTATTGTGGATGCGAGAGATTTAGCAGAAGGAGGATCTTACTTTGTGGCAGTGCTCAGGGTTGCCAATTCAATTGTGTATTTTCCCCCCGAAATTGTCTAAATTTTCCCTTAAATTCAATTTGACTCCAAAATGTAGCCCTGATGATGACCCACATGTTTGGGTCAAAACGTCGGCTAACCTAATAAAATTTCTTGACTGTAAATCCTGACAATTTTTTGTTTCGGTCTTATGGCATTTTAAGGTAATTTAATTCAATTATATTTTATATTAATTAAATTAGTTATACTTGTTGAAACTATCTTAAAAAAGATATGAAAATTTAGTAATAATTGAAAAGGGTATTCAAAATTTTCACCATTCACAAGGTCAAATTGTGGGATAGAAGGTCAAAAGCACTTTTTATCTGTTATTACAACTTATTGATGTCCCATCCAATCTATTCATAAAAAAAAAAAAAAAATTTTTAATGATAAAAAAAAATCTAAAATAACCTCTAAAAAACCTTTGCATCCTAAATCTACAGAGAAAATCCAACCTGGCAACCCTAGAAGTGCTATTTCTTTTAGATTGGTCAACTTAAGTTTTATTTTCTTCATTCAATTAGTTTTTTCGAATTTAAATTTTTTTTTTAGTTTCTGGTATAGTGGAAGAAAAAAAAGGGGATCTCCATGCAACCTACATTTTTTCAACCTCTTTGCCAAACAAATAAAATTATAATAATTATGATGTTCTCCCTACCACCCAGCTTTCTCTTATTTATAATTTCATCCGGTACATCTTTTCAACATCATAATTTTGTTTTGTAATCAATAGCTGGAAGATGTCAAAACTTATATTTTGAGCTTGAGCCTGCCTGTAATACATATACAAAGAAAACAATTAAAATACTTGTCCAATTTTTAAGATTCCTCTATCTCTCTGTTCTATGGAGTATACCCGGAAAGTTCATATAATTTTATTTTAATCTGGGGATTTAGATGATTGTTTTTATTTAAAATATTTCTGATTTTTAAACTTAACTTTTCATGTTCGTTTTTTTTCTTTTATACCATCAATAGTTTATCAAAATTTTGCATGATATACTTAAGAAATAAATACCCTTCATTATGATTTTGCCATAATGGTTTCCAGAAGTAAGCTTAAATTATATTCTTAATTATTTCAAAGTATTTTTCTCACATGGGGTTGAGAACTGTTTTTTAAATGAATTATTGTAAGTACAATGAGCTGCTACAGATTGATTCATACGAATTTGTTAGTTTTACCTACTTCCTATCTTCCTTTACCGTATCCATTTGCTCAATATTAAATACCAAAATTTAATGAATAAATAATAATAATAATAATAACTAAAAGCATTTATAGGAAAGGATTTGAATTTTACAGTGTCTTTATTTATACAATTTTCTCGAACATTTGGCATTTATAAATGGTACTGTCACAGTTGCATTGTGTCGACTGAATGTTTATTTAAAACCTGGGCCTAAATTCGCTTCCTAATAGAAAAAGAGATAAAAGAAATTTTTAATGAATTGCTTATTTTGCAATTATACAGCGTTGTGAAGTTAAACCGAAGACTGATAAACTGCTATTCATAAATAACAATATGGCCTTATCTTTAATTGATAAAGGTGTACGGAATAAATACAGCTTGTGTGTAAAATTTTATCGGGGGAATCATGAGTTGGTAATATTTGTAATAATTTCTTAGTTTATATTTGTATATAAGTATATAATTGATATATATATGAATATATGTATATGCATAAATATATTTAAAAATAATGTAAAATATTTTTGAATTGTATTGATTTTAACTAACCTAAGCATATCTAATAAAAAAATATGATTTAATTATTAATTGCTAATTGAAATATTTGCATTTTATAATATACACTATTTGCATTCATATTTTTTTATTGAAAATTTCTATTTATTTCATTGGTGCTGTAATTTTTTTAATTGCTTACGATGTTCCTGTGTTATGACTGAAAGGGGCAGTTACATTTTTTGTAACCTTATTTTGAAAACATATTTTTGTTTTTACTATATGTTGTAAAAATTAATTCTCTTCTTCATATGTTTTTATTTTAAATAAATATATCATAACACAACATGCTGGGGTTTTTATCCCGTCTTCTGGATCTCACTTTTTTTATACAGTGAAATTTCTCTAGAACAGACAGCCATGATGGATTTGTCTGTTGCAAAGGTGTATCCTATTCATAATTTTTGTTCCATTTTTTGGCATATTTTTAGACGTTATTTGTATTAATTTGGGGCGTGTTATGAAATTTCAATTGTCAAAATATAACTTACGCCACTAAATGGATCCTAGTTTAAAAATTAATTTTAAGGTCTGCCCCTTCAGTCTTTTATTACTTACTGTTTGTTCAATAAAAAATTATATTTTTTATTTTGACTATGTTATCATAAATATTTTTCTACAGTGTGTATTAAATTAAGATTATACATTTTCTTTCTCCGTTTTATCCATTCGGTTGTGATCGCATTCTTCATATATTCTTCAAAGATACCAGAAGTGCCCAAGAACAAAAACTTATGATATTGCAATTATTAGTTTGATATGTAATTAGCCGATCGAGCTTTACCTGGTAAGTCAGTGTTTAAAAATTAAAAAAAAAAAATGTCGCGTAGTGTTGCAGATAGTCATTAAAAAATATTGTTGAAGGCTGTTAAAATGCTTCGTATTGCTACCACATTCTTTTTATTTTGGCAGTTTTTTATTATTTGTCCGAACATTCTGAGAAAAATCTGATGATTCTGTTTTGCTACTGTGCAAAGCAATAATTTTAGTATTTAGAACATAAATTACTTCGGAAAATATAAACTCCAGAAAAAGTGTGTGACATTGCATTGCATTATATTATATCAACTTGAATGTCTTGTAGTATTATTAACAAGACACCATAATTCTTATTCTAATTATAAATTGAAGAAGTAATTAAATTTTAATCCCGAGTGAGGGAGGACATAGTACAAGTAAATTTATTGTTAAATATAATCTTTCATTTGTAATTTTTTTAATAACAATTGTTATTCATCAAGAAATCATCCGCTGTGTCAGAATTGACATCAGCTGATCTGATAGTCTATTTCAAAATCTATGTAAAACAGACATATCAATTGATGAACTATTGGAAATTCTTTAGTAAATGTGATAAAATTGAAATAAGTCATTCTTTTTTATGTTAATTTTTAAAAAAAATATTTTTATTGTGATTTATAATATCATATTTTACGAGTACCTGCGTCAGTTAATTTAATCTAATTTTAGGCAGAAATATTTATTAATTAGGTAGTTCTAAATTGCTGTCGATAATCCTAAATGTTTTAGAACTTGTAATGTTATGTTTATTAATCTATCAGCATCAAATCAAATGTTTTCACTACCTCATACAATACAATAATCAACATATTTTATCGTTGTACCTGTTAAAATCAAAGTACAATTTGGAGCAATACATTAATAAATGAATACTAATTCTGCAAAAATATTACTATCATTACAAAAAACGTGGAAGTTCCGAATTTGAACATAATACTGTTGAAATCAAATTTGTGTAAGTTTAAGATTTACTTTACTAGGAGCTTTTTGGAATTCCTGTTCGAAGGACAAAGCCTTAGGTACTTTAATCATCTGATATAATTCATTCTTTTATTTTTGTGTTATTAATCTTCTATGCTCCTCTTTCCTGAGAGTTTGAGTTCTGTTGCGACAGATGATTATTTATTATGTTATAATAGCTGTGGATTGACAATGAGACCCTGATGCACAGATAATGAGTATGATCGTGGTCAAATCACCTCCTTAAACAGTTATTTTTTCTTTTTCTACTATAATCAAAATAGAACTAAATTTGTGTTTAACAATTTTTTTTGTTTTAATGTTTAAATGCACTCAAAAGTAGAAAAACTTAAGAAGCCATTAAGTACAAATGTGGTTTCGGGATATGAAGCTTGTACTAATCATAAGATTTTGGTTATGGAATTTTCTTTTGTTTAAGGTTGTGCCTATAATTCTTTTTAGCATTTTATTTGTTTTTTTTAAAATAACAAATATATATTTTTTTTAAATCGCAGCAAGCTAGAACTTCCTGATTTTGAGATTAAAACAGTAGTTGATTATTCTTTTATTTATTATTTATATGTTTTGTTGTAATTCATTGATTTATTTTTAGTCTGATTATATTATTATCCGAAGTGTACTGCACTGAATAACTTTTTGTTGAGATTCATTGTACTCTTAAATTCAGTGAACATAAGGTTACTTTTTTAAAGTTTTTTTTTTTATGAAGTTCTTATTTTATTTTTTGTAATTGTTCTCCTTGTAGTACTTACTGCTCTAAAATTATGGAATCTTTTCATCATATATTCCATTATATTCCTATTAAAGAATTAACATTTTTATTAGTTTATACTTTTTATCGGAGTGTATGGTAGCCATTTGATGTTATACTTTTGTCTCATACACTTTGTATCTTAAGTAAAAGAAAACTATTAATAAGTTAAATTACTTAAAAAGGTTTTCTTATTTCATATTGTATATGTAATTTAATTTTTAATGGATTTGATATAATTGAAATACCTTATGTTGATTATGAGAAATAGCATAAAATAATCCATCATTTTATATTATATTTGTTTATGTATATGTAGGTTTGTTTCCTTTCATATGTGATTTAAATGAATGGGTGTAATTAATTAAAATAATTTTTTTTATATACCTAATAGTTTCAAAACTAAATGTGTAATATTAAAAACATAAAATAATAATAATAATGATAAATACATGCACTTTTATAGATTATTAAATGTTTTATGTTGAAACATTTTGAGCTAAACGATGATGTGGTTTAGGGATTGTGTTTAGTTTTGATGTTAGTACCGTAAGCAAGCACCTTGTGATAATTTACTAGTTAATAATAACAATATTCCTGTTAATGTATACATTAGGATTTTGCACTAACAGTTGATGTGTAATTTTTTTGAAATTTTAATTTTTTAATAATGCAGTTGTGGAGAAAGTATTCATGCAACCCATGACATTAATATAGTGAATAACAAAACTTTGTCATAAACATTTTATATGTTTAGTTTTTTAATTGCTTCTTTGCCTCCTACGTGCTAGTATAGATTGTGGAAATTGTGAATAAAATAATTACAGAAAGCAGTGTTTTCTTATTTATTAGATTAATCCTGATCATTTTCTAGAGATTTTTCAGGAATTTCAATACATTTAAAAGACAGTAGAAAGTTCTGTATGCACTTGTTACATGCAGGTCTTGTAAATAACTTTTCGTTTATATGGGGGTCTTAGTTATTTACATCCTTATATTAAAGATATTTCAAAATAAGATTTAAATACTTATTTAAGTTTGTTTGTTTCAATGTCCAGGTGCAAAACATCCTGGTCATTAGCGCCCAATCAACTAAATAACACTATTTTTTTACTGTTCAGGTGGTTGGTATAAAAAATAAAAAAAATAATAGAATAAAATAAATATAATGATAGACACTTATAGATAATAATATAGAATAGAGAAAAATAGAAATAGAATAGAATATAGAATAGAGAAATAAATAAAATCTAAAAAAAATAGCAATAAAATTAATAAATGAATTTAAATAGATGAACATTTAAAATAAAAAAAATCTGCAAAGGATCATTAGTTATAAGCTTGTCATATATGTTTTTTAAGTCTTTCATTGTCTAAGAACTTCAAAACTTTGGTAATGATTTCTTCTTGATTTCTCAGGGATGCTGATATATTCTGGTGTATTCTTTGATCTTTTAAATTTGTGGTGTAAAAAGGATACTCTTCCAAAACATATTTTATAGTTAATGACTGGTCACACTTTTGACATTTGGGGATAGGTTCTTTTGTTATGAGGTGGAGGTGTGTCAGTCTAGTATGTCCGATCCTCAGCCGCGTGAGGACGACCTCTACGACTGCTGCGTTTGGAGTTGCTCCACCGTTTCACCTCTTTCTTTATTGTCTTTAAATTGGCATAGTATAATGTTATGTTATTCTGAACTTAAACTTCCTAATGTATTGAGCTTAAGTTTATAGATACATAAAAAAAAAAAAAAATGCTTATTTTACACAGTTTATTGAAAATATAATATTTAACAAGATGAGTATTTTATAAAAAATATAATTTAAACAACTTCAATAATTAAAAGTAAATAAAGATCCATAAGCACATCTTTTAAAGCAACAGTTTATAATATTGATAACAATATAACTCACATCAAGTTATCAATAAACCAAGGAACATCAGAGTAACTGTAAGGTACGACAGGTAGATCGTATGGCAGCGAAAATATTTTCCCAGTTGTCTCTTCATCATTAACAAGCGGAAAGTAATCTTGCCCAATCTGGAACATAAATATTTTTAAATATGATCCTTATTCTAGAAATAAAATAAATTTTTGAATTCAATCAAACCTTCAAACTAAATTTCTTTAAAAAAAAAATCATATAAAGAACTTGAAAAATTAATATAAAAAATAATAAAGAGCATTAGGGTGCTCCCATACTATATCAGTATTTCTAAAGATATGATAACCAAGGCCCAGATTTTTATGCAGTAAAAAAACTCTGAAATATGCAGCTAAACATGCAGTAAAAACACATGAAAACTGGTCTCTATATATATTAAACTTACTAATTACTTGATTACCAATAGGGCAATAACGTATTTTAATATAATGACGTGCCTACAAAAAGTTTAGAAACGAAAAAAAATTATGGAGGGGTTGAAAAATACAATAATTTTATTTTTTTTTATCTAAACTAAAGAACGAAAATAACTAAACATACACGGCTAGTAAGTTTATAATATACATTATAATGGTAATGAAAACATAATATGAATCACATCAAGAAATTTAAATGTCCAAACAAAGTATATACAAACGAAAAATCAATAATTGTATTATATTAACACAATCAAATAAGCATAGTAATAAAAGATAACAGATATAGAACAATAAGTATGTAAACACTTTAAAATTTTGTATGTTAATAACATGAGTATTTGTTGAAACAATAACATAATTAATAACTTATGAAACAAATAGTGTAAAATAGATAAAAAATTTGAATTAGTATACTTTGCAGGCATGTTCTGTATTAAAATTATCAGAAACATTGCTAAATTTGCTTCTGTGAAACATTACCTTTTATAAAATATTTTTATAATTAAAAAATGATCTTTCTAGATCAACTAGATGTAAATTTATAATAATTCACTTAAAATTAATCTATGTCATTGGGAACAATTGAATCTTCGCCATTTAAAATTTTATTAATACATTCCAGAATTGTGATCTCTAAATTTTTTATAGAAACTTCCGTTTTTTTCATTTAAAGTTTCAACCACTTGGCCTCCTGGCACTACTGGTTTTCCATCAGTTGTAAAAACTATTTCATGCCTGTTGATTTAATTTTAAATCTAAGATTTCAACATTGATGAAAATGATTCTTTTGGCATTTTAAACAAACAGAAATGTGATCTCTTGCTAAGAACGTAGGCACCAAACTAAAATGGTTTAGGTGTGGTGGTTGTTTTATTGGGTATGGTTAGGGGTTTTTTTGGGTGGTATTGTTGAGATTTGATGAGTTTTAGTGTTGTTTGTATAGGGTTTGAGGTTGTGTTGGGAGGTTGTGTGTAGTATTTGGGGTTTGGGGGGGATGGGTTAAAGGACATTTTTTTTCATTTGTTTGGTTGTGTGTTTGGGTTTGTTTTTTGTTGTTTTGTGTGTGTTGTGTGTTTGTTTTTTTTTCTTGGTTTTGTATATTGGTTTTGTGTGTGTTTTTGTTTTATTTTTAGTGTTGTTTGTGTTTATTTTTTGGGGGGGTGGAGGTATTTGTTTTTTGTTTTGTTTTTGTATGATGAAGTTATTTTTTTTATTGTGTTGTGGGTTGATTTTTGGGGATTTTTGTTTTGTTTTTAGTTTTTGGTTGGGTGTTTGGAGTTGTAAGATAAAAAAAATTTGTTATAAGTTAGTTTTGTTTATTTATTAGGGATTAATTATAGTATGATTGTAAATTTTGTTGAGTTTGTTTTTTTTGTGTGGTGGTGGGTTAGGTGGGGTGGGAGTTTTTTTGTTTATTTTTTGAATTGTTTTGTATTGTTTATGATTTTGGATTTTTTTGGATTGGTTAAAGATTTTTTGAGTTGTTTATTTGTGTATATGGGAGTTTTGTTGTTATGTGAGGTATTTGTTTTTGTTGATGATTGGTATTTTTTGAAGATATAATTGTTTGAATGGGATTTTTTGAAGGTATTGGTTTGTTATTTAGTATAGTAGATTGCTGTTAAAATAATAAAAATCTAGATAGAAAGTGAGTATACACATATTTTTCATGACACAGTTAAGTAGGATCGTTAGAAAACGACAATTGTTATTATGCTGCCTCTATGTTGGATATATATTTCTTATGATTCTTAATATATGTTCATCTGATGATCTAGATATAATGCGGATGGCTAAATTGGAACCTGAAGTCTGAAACAATGAGGCACGATCAATACATTTGTTTTCAATACTGTACATAAGTGCTCTTAATTATTATTTAATTACCACTCAAACCATCCTTGCTCAACTAAATTCCAATTTTTTAAGTTTATGTAAGGGAAAAAGGTACAGCATGATATGATAATAGTTGCATGACAATTAGAGAGTATGTAAAATATATGAATTGTTAATGTTATTAGTTAATAATGTTTTGTAATTACAAAGATCAATGTGGCGGCAGAAAGTTTCTCTGGGTACAAGATATGAAATAAAATAATGTAAATTATAGAGAGACTATCAATGGTAAACAATAATCGTCTTCAAAGAAGAAATAATAATCTATATTACTCAAAGTTTTAAAACTTTTAAAAGCTCAATTAATTCATAGTGGGCGCAGAACAATTTTAGAACTAGATAATTATGTATACAAAATTATTGCTATTCTATAAAGTATTTTTGAATCCGAAAATCGATCACAAACCAGTATTTGAGGAACCAAGAGAACTCCTGCTTCATAAGAAAGTATATTAAGTGAGCCAGATTTCGCTCTTTGACCCCACGCAGCCTTGCTCATATTTGCAGAGGTAAGAACAAAATAATAAATCTTCTTTTCATCTGGTGACAATCGGCAATAGGACTTGATATGAGGAGGAGCACGTGTTCTATGGCGTTTTTCACTATTCCAGTCACTGAAATGTTTGATGTTCAATCAATAACATTAATAAAAACTAAATTAAAACAATGATTTATACAAAAAAATAATTTAATTTGTAAAAATACATGATATAGATAAAATGTATACAACACTACTTTCAAAATCTATGACTGACTGGAAGCAATTGGGTATTTGAATATTGGCATATGCTTGTAAAACAATGTAATCAATTTTACACTTTTTTGCAATTTCCTTGAAAATGACTGACCATTTTGATTAAATTTGTTATGTCAAAGTATCATTATGTAAATGTTTTTTTAATATCAGAAAGGTCTTCCCTTATTGAAATAGTCTGACCTTAAATGTCATTTTTTTGTTTTAATGAATATATTTTGAATTCTATAATTTTTACTTTCATTTCTCCATATATGAAAATATATATTTGTATTCCAAATAGGGCAAAAAGTGAAATTTGTGTGATGTGCAACATAAAAGCTTTTTTAAATTCGAGTGAGAACATGTTTGTTCATTGGAAGCATAGAAGAGAATAATCATAATTAACGATTACAATAAAAGTAATTATGATCGCACAGATTTTGATTACATGATTAGATTGATCAGTTTTCGAATATGAATGTAAACAGGTAATCAAATAATCATGTCAAATGTTTGCCTCATTTATAGTACTATTTTATCAAGCATAAAATTCACATGGCAGTTAAGTTTTAATTTCAGTTTTAATCATGTAATCATTGATTTCGATTTTGCCCATCTCAGGTTGAAAAGACATAACAGATCAAGAGGTAAAATACTCCCTTTGAAGACTTCACCATTTCCATGAATCACAAAACAGAAACACATGTTGCCAAGTTGACTTCGGTTAGAGAGTGAGAGACCCAAACATTAAGCCTGGAAACATAGCCCAGCTCCTGCAAATGGTTTTCTAGGCTTGTCTGCGACACATTTAGAGCCATGGCAATCTCTCATACTGATTGGATGGGATTTTGATCAACAATGGCCTTAACATTGCTCGTTTTAATTTCATGTGGGCGACCAGATCGTTGAGTATCATTGATGTCAAAATTTCCTGAATGAAATTTGACAAACCGATTTAGACAGGTGCGTTCGGTTAAGACATCATCCCCATAAAAACTGCAAATTTTTCTATGAGTTTCTGCAGCACACTTACCTTTTTTAAAATAATACAACAAAATATGGCAATAATGAATGATGTTTTCTTCCATATTCACTGTGCAATAATAGCAAACACAATACTAAGCTAGTTTCAACAAAAGTTAACAGATATAGTTGTTGACATATTACAAACAGGATAAACAATCCACCTTAGGGATTAATTCATCAGATAAGAAGTGTATCATCGTGACATAAAAATAAACAGAAAAATTGAATAGACTTATTTACCAACCCAATAATAAGGAATATAAATAATTTTGGATAGATAATTATCCAATTGTAAGCCAGGTTCAAAAGTTAAAACATATAGCAATATGATAACTCTGTAATGCTAAAATCTCCCAACAGGTCAGTACATAGCCTTAGTTGTTCTAAAACTACTACCGCATCTTCTAAAGCTTAGAGTTAAGCACTATGTATTCTAAACTTTGGAATATGATGATCCATCAAAAGAGGATAGAATTTTACTTTTTAAGTCTTAAAATATTCAACATAGATATAAGTCTAGTTTCTAAATTTAAGAAGTACAAATTGCTATCAGTGAATTCTCTCATATTTTTTTAGATTTTAAAGTTCAAAATTGTAAAACAATAAATTTACTTTAGTCATTCTCTGATAATACGCTACACAATAATAATAAGTAAAATAAAATACGAACCACAGAAACGAAACCAACCACTCTTGCTTTGCATGAGTTTTCTTGGAATATGGAAGACACCCACCTCCAAGCAGACTGTCATAGCTCTTCGAAATGCACGTAAAAGATGGGTAGATCTAGTTTAAAGCAAATATTAATTATAAAATGTCATGTTTTAATCATTAATATAATAAAATAAAATAATAACTTACAAGCACCATATGAGGAGCAGACGAAATACCCTTTCTTTTTGAAGAGGTAAACACTGACAACATATCGCCCTGAAGCCACGATGACGGATTTGGTCCGAGTGATCCAATTGACGAACATTGAGCAATCACTTTCCCATCATTTTGGACAATTTGTTCACTCAAAATCTTACTCATCTTCAACTGTCCCCAATCATTTCTGTATGTAGTATGTGTTCCAGGAACTGAAGCGATAAAAAATACTCTGAAATGCAATGTAATAATTAATAGTATTCCATAATATAACATTAAATTAAAAAACAACTCAATTTAACCATCGATTGATTATTGTTATCAATAAATTATAATTTGAATTATTATTTTACAATACATTCCTTACAGGAGGTCTTATAGATTACATAAATGACTATTATGACGCAATCATAAGAATATAAGTAAAAATAATAAACCAAAATTTTGGTTGAACCAAAAATTCAGATTTGGATCCAATTATTTAATAGACTAGATCAATCAATTGAAAAAATATTTAATTAATATAATTATAAAATAAAGCTAAGTAATAAATTACTTCACAGCAGACATATCAACAGCTCGTAATATTTCTAGCCATGGCTGAAGTTCAGATAACTTGTATGAAGACAGATACTGAAGAAGATCACGTTTGAAATTAGTTATACTATCACCAGCTCCTGTGTCTGAGTCAGGTGGTAGAGGTGGACATTTAGGCGATATCCAAAGTCTGGAAATAAATAAAATAAAATATTAATACATAAAATATTCAAAAATATATTTAAAATTAAATTATTTTTAACCTTCAAGAGGGCAAGAAATGCACCAGCCTCGGTTTTTAGGCTGTTCAATCTTTCCAAGTGCCATGATGTCATGGTGATCGCAGGTATTTGTTTATCAAATTGTTATTGTCCTTTTAATACCTTCTTAACTGTCTCCGACCCTTATGATCTTCAGTAAATTTTGAAATCGCTTGGATATTTTTTGTGTTATGGTTGAATTGAAGTATTTGAAATGTCATGTATATGGAAGGAAATAGAACCACGATAAAAATATGTCCCAACTATAAAAAATATACTGGCAAAGCTCATCTTCTAATTAAGCTTGTATGCATTGCGTGTCATGGGCAAGTCGAATCTGATTAAAATTAATTTGAATAAATGATTAATTTGTTGCTTCTAATATTTTAGTTTTAAATTTTTCTAATTGCCTTTTACAGTAAACTTACCTTGTTTTGTAATCAAAATTATGTTTTATGTTATTTAGTATACATAACTTATTTTTTTATCGTCAGATGTAACCTATTAAATTAAAGTTCATAAAATATTTTTATATTTATTTATTAATTTCATGTAATATGTCCTACCTTATATTGAGTATACAAAAAATAAAAAAGTAAACATGTTTGTCTTTGTGTTATGTTTGTCTCTAGGATTTAAGAAGTTGTAATGTATCAAACTAAATGAAGCCCAACAAACAGTAACATTTTTTTGATGAGTTGGGGGCTTTGGAAAATGTTCTACCGCTTCTCCTTTGTTGAGCCACTGTCCAGAACGTAAAGTCGTAAACGTCTACTGTTATCGTAAAGTATCCACTTTTCATCAAAAGTAACAATCCTGGACAGAAAAGGGTCGCTTTTGTTTTGGCAAAGAAGTGTAGCACAAATTTCATAATGCTGGTTTTTTTTGTAGTCGTTTAGTATGTGTGGAAACTATCTCAAGCTTTTTTACCTTTCCAATTACCTTGAGGTGGTTACCGACGGTCGATTTGATAAGGTTAAGTTTTGCTGCAAGTTCTCAAACAGTTTTCCGAACGTTTTCTTCCACTAAAGCCCGCAGAACATTTTCATCAAGAGAGGAGGTCCTTCCATGACCTTATTTGTCTTGAAGAATGAAGTCTAGTTTTCAATTTTTTTTTTTTTTTAACCATTGTTGAACAGTGCACTCCTTAATGCTGCACTCGCCCTAGACTTGATTAATGTTTCTGGCTGTCTGGGCCCGATTCCGGCCGAGTTTAAACTCGTATAACAAAATTATACAAAAATCATAGTTGGCATCTTAGTAAAGACTGAATTATTTCTAAGCAGCGAAATGCTATAGAGGTGAACAAATATTACCGTTTGAAAGAGGATTAATAAGTGTTGACATTCAAACAAATGAATAATCCAGTAAACGTAAACATTTTGTTATATGGAGGGGTATTTTAAATAAAACTCAAAATCCTGCATTATTTTACGGATAACTCAATAATTGTACATAAATAAATAGCATTATAAACTGTATAAATAAATATTAATGTATAAAATAGTGAATTTAGAATTTAAACAACAGAAAAAAAAAGACATTAATCACTATCAAAAAGATATGGTGCACTTCATGCAACGCTCGCCTACTGGTGTAACAAATAAAGGCATGGCTGCTGAAAGATTAATTTATTTTGAAGTTTTAACCAAAATTACTCAAAAATCAACAGAGATATTATTTAAAAATATATTTATTTTATTATTCTACTAGTAATTTATAAGAAAATACTTAAAACATATTCATATTAATTTTTAACTAGTTAATATAATATTAGATTCAGCATTTAAGTAAGAAATTCATGAACTTGCAACATATGATAAAGTTGAAATAAGTTATATCTAATTATAATAAATAAAAAATTACCCCTGTGTTCGATTCAGCCAGTCCTCTTCTACTAGATTAGCTGTAGATACAACAATCCTAACACTCTTATCTTTGTAACAAAATGCCATCATCTTTCTAAAAGAAAAAAACAAAAGATTTAATCAAGTTCTAATAACTTATTTTAAAACTATTTTAAAGCAGTTATTTATAAATGGAATAAAAATCTATTTAAACATTAACATGACATAACATCTATACAATTAAGAATAAAATGTGGCCAAATAAAGAGTTACATTTATTATATGCACTTATTATCTTAAGCGCTTATAATAAATAAAATATTGACACTTGAAATTACTGATAGGACATAATAAACAGAATTTAACATTTTATTTAATATTAAGATTCATTTCAAAAGAGATATCACTTCTTTTCATAGCCTTCAATATGATAAATCGTAACTTTTCTAAATATCAAAAACTATGAAAATTAATGAATAAACATCAGATATCTTTAAGAAAAAAAAAACAAATTTTGTCTGACAATGTATATTCATTAAATAATAAAATATATACTGAACTAAAAATGCTTACGTGTGATGGGAACCAAAACTAGATGGAGGAACCACTTTGGCATGAGTGAGAAAATGCTTAAATTTATCTCCGAGCTCGAAATCACACTGGCCATATAAAAGAGTGAGAGGTTTGCATCTGATAAGAAAAATACAAATAATAAATCTATTTATATATATATATATATATATATATATATATATATATATATATATATATATATATAATAATTATAGATTAATGTAATGTATATACTACATGAAAAATAAAAACTACTGGTATAAAACCTCCAGTTTACAGCACCTATTGGGAGTTATTTAATAATAATAAGCTTTTTGAATGGTCTAGAAGTGTCGTAAGGCATATTTTCAGAGAATGAATCACTTCTGCACATGGATATATTAGCATCATTCTCTATTTATCTTCTTTTAAAAGTAAAAAAACGCCCTGAAGGTACGATACTCAAAATGTGTAACCCAAAAAAGATGTATGTTTTCAATAAGAACTACACATTCTCTTTTCAAGAAATTCTAAGATGTAAACTGATATTTTTATGCACTAAACTTTTTATCTTATTCTGTACATATCACTGTTAGTTTATAACATAAAAACAGCCAATTTTTTTAGTAGCTAAAATGGCTGCTCATAACTGGTTTGTGAAAATGGAAATATCCAATTTAGGCACTGACATTGTTCAAAACTGGACCACGGTTGTTTAATTTTAGTTTTTTCTAGACCTAGTTTCAAGCAAGCCAAAAACTAGTTCACAGTTCTATTACATTAACAGATTTTCAACAGATATGAAAAAAATGAAAAATTCAAAACAGGATAGATGAAGACTGAAAATATTTTTGTTATATATAGATACATTTTCATTCCATTATTGTATGAGAAGTACAATACCGGTCAAAAGTTTAGACTCACTGGTATTTAATTCACAATCTTCACGATTAATAAAATAATTCTTAGTCAAGATATAACATATTAATAAACAATAAACATCAATAAACATTCGACTAATCCTCTTTCACCTTGAAACTGTTTACTATTCCTTCAGGATCTCTTTATTTTGTGATTGATCAGGTGAACTAGTAATAGTGTGCTTATAACGATTTCATTAATTTGTGCTATTTATTTTAACATTTATTTTCTGAGATTCATTTTAAGGTAAGTTCGTATACATAATACATTAAAAAAAAAACTGATTTTAAAGTTTTCATTTAGCTGGTAAATATTGAAAAAAAAAGTTAACAATTTTTTACAGGATTTATTATGGAAATATGGGTAGAAAACCAGAAGTGAGTGTTGAAACATGTGCCATTATTGTTGTATTACATAGGGAAGGCAATTGTATCTAAGACTAAGGTTTCTCGGACTACTGTGACAAGAACATTGAAGAGAAAGAATAAAACTAGAAAAAACAAGAGCCGCCAACGATCTGGGAGATTTAGAGTAACGTCAAAACGTGAGTACAAGTTCATCTGTGTGCAAAGTAAATGTTAGCGGACTCAAAAAGTGCCAGAAATTCACGAAATAGTCGTTGCCTTAGACAGAAGGCTGTATCCAATGTATGTATAATATCAACTGTAAAGCAAGGTGGAGGATCAGTTATGGTTTGAGGATGTTTAACCGGCGACAAAGTTGGATATCTCGTTCAAATGGAGGGAATTGAAATTGAAAAAAAAAAAAAGAATATCATGGAATTTTGCAGCGTCATGATTATTCTACGTATGATTATTCCAAGTGGACAGAGAATTGTGGGTCAAGAATTTGTTTTCAGCAGGATAATGTTCATAAACATTCTTACCAATCAAAACTTTCTCAACAGGAACATTGCAAGAATTAATAGAAAAAATGCCAAAAATATGCAACGCTCTGATTAAGGCAAAAGGTGGACATATCGAAGAATAGAAAATTGGACAATATTCATAATTTGTAAACAAAATTATCCTTGTTATGCAATAATTGTACTTGTATTTATCAAAATAAAGCTGATTTGTTATTATTTGAGACATACAAATTTTGTTATTAATTTATTTTATAAAATCCAAGGATGAGCCTAAACGTTTTAACGGTAGTTTTACATAAGATAAATTAAACATATCATCTCATTTTAGTTCACTTATTAGTATTTATTTACTAGTAAACAAAATATTATTCTTCGTACTATTTTATCTTTTTATTTTCTTGCTAATATGTTTTGTTTGTTTGTTATCTTCACTTTGCTTGGTACTGATGAAGGCCTAAAACTTATCCTACTTTGAAAATTCATAATTAAAAAAGACTTTTCAGTAAGCAGTTTCACAGGAATAAAAACCTTGTTTTAAGTTAATAAGTTATAATTTTTTTTTTTTTTTATCTCTTTTCTTAATACTTAGATGATGTAGACATTAGTTCAAAAGATGAAAAGTGATTTTAATCATAGGTTTAAACACACCAAATAATATATAATAACTGTTTTAAACAAAACTAACAATCGTTATCAGTAAAGATTTTTGTTTCTCATCTGTCCGTCATTAGTGATTGATATCTGCATTACATACAGATAAATTCGGATGTAAATACTTTTATGACATTATTATGTTACAAAATTAAAATAAATTACTGAATCTTACTTATAACCCATAATCCCATACTGAGCAAGCAGAAATCCCAACTCCACCATGAAGTTTATTTGCAATGAACTTTCAAGTTCTCCAAAGTATGGGTCAAGTAATTCTAAACAATAACAAGTACAGATTAAAAACATGTTAAATGCTTACTTATGTAGGTAATAATTTATTTAATAACACCACATAAAGTAACTTTGCCTGGAAAAGATATAGATGTCAATTCTTCATGAGTCTTCGGAGAATCTTTCACGGTTGTCAAAAATATATTATAAGGATGTACAGCCTCCATTTTCTGCTTAACAGAAACTTTCATTTTGTTAAGGGCATCCTGTTTATAATTTTCTAACATTTTGCATTGACTACAATTTTTTTGACAATCATTTTTGCAACCATTGTTTGAATGTCCTTTTCCTGTTTCTTTATTTGCTAAATCTTTAGGAGGTGAATAGCGAAGGGAACTAGTTGATTCTTTACTAGAACTGTTAGAAATCGCACTGCTATTATTAGACTCATTTTTAGATTTTCTGAATTTACGAACTATTTCTAGTTGCTCTATTAAAGTTTGTTGACTAATTTTACTTTTGTAATTTGGAGGGATCACAATCTTATCTCCCATCTGTTTAAGCAGTTCATTAACTGAAACAAATATTCTTCTGGTGAAAGAATTGAAGGTATATACATAACAAAATATTCACTCAAAAGAAAATAATAATGCTTACGGTGGGAATGGGTATATTCCTCAAAATGTTCAGGTTTTTTTCTGTAACATCTTTCACCAAAGTTGCATTCCATTTTGCTACGTTTAGCTCTCCCTCCATCATTACCTATTAAAGAGTCATGTCAATAAAAAATAAATCTGTCTCTGTAAACCTATTCAATATGTAATCTGAACTAACTTGTTGATATATCCATTTGAATTTTAATCATTGCAATTTTATTTTATTTAAAGTAATTGAATATCATAGCATTTAGAGATCTGACATATTAAAAATAAATGAAAATTCAACATATATTATAAAACAAATAAAAAAATGTATGTTGATTTCCAACTTGTCAATAAACAGTTGAAACTATGATGTTGCAGGTACGTAATCATATACAAAGAGGATCAGATCTAACACAATCGTTCCTAATAGTAGTTATATGACGTCATTGATCTGCTGACTAAAGTTAAGTGACTCTCCCTACAGCCTGCTACACAGTCAACACCTCCAGGTCGGTCCGCGTAAACTTCTTTGACTACATAGTAAAATTTTAAAAATGTGAAGTTTACTAAATCATTTAAATACGAAGTTATTACAACATTTATTACATGAGTTGTTTCACTTAGAAAGCTCACAATTTAAGTGACATTTATAGATCAAAATTTTCTTTTTTCACCACAATCCTTGGCCTGCGGGACTTATTGAAGATCTCAATGCCGTCCGAGGGACTTAGTGGAGGTCCCAACGGGGCCCGAGGGTCGAAATGTTGGAGACACCCTTTTTATAGCGACACACGTTTTTCTTTGCGCCATTTCAAAATGAAAGGCCGGTTGGTAATGAAATGTATAGGGTTTGCAAATAAGTCCTTTCGGTGTTTCTGTTTATTGTTCTGTCACTATGATAAACTTCTTATCTGACGAATTAATCCCAAAGGTGGATTGTTTATCATGTTTGTAATATGTCAACAACTATATCTGTTAACTCTTGTTGAAACTAGCTTAGTATTGTGTTAGCTATTGCACTTTGAATATAGATGAAAATATCATTCATTATCTGCATATTTTGTTATATTATTTTAAAGAAGGTAAGCGTGCTGCAGAAGCTCATAGAAAAAATTTGAAGTGTTTATGGAGATGATGCCTTAACCGAAGGCATCTGCCGAAATTGATATGCCAAATTTTACTCAGGAAATTTTGACATCAATGATGCTCAACGATCTAGTCACCCACATGAAATTGAAGCGAACAATGTTAAGGCCATGGGTTGATCAAATTCCCACCCAATCAGTGTGAGAGATTGCTATGGTCCTAAATGTGTCGCACAAAAGCGTAGACAGTTTTTCACAAGCTCGGCTATGTTTCCAGGATTAATGTTTGGGTTCCTCACTCTCTAACCGAAGTCAACTTAGCAACACCTATTTCTGCTTGTGATTCACAATAGAAACGGCAACAAAACGACCCATTTTGAAAATGTTGGTAACAGGAAATGAAAAATGGATATTTTACAATAGTGTAATACGTAGAAAATCTTGGGTACTTAGTAGAGAGGCTCCTAGAAGAATGTCAAAACCCGGATAGCATCCAAAAATGAAAATGCTTTCCATATGGTGGGATTTCAAGGATGTTATTTTCTATGAGCTATTGCTATCAGGACAAACAATTGGTTCAACTCTATACTGCTCAAAATTAACAAAATTGGATCAATCAATTAAAAATAATCGGAAGGGTGTAGTGTTCCACCAAGACAACGCTAGGCCCCTAACCTTATTGGTCACTCGCATTAAATTATTGAGTCTTGGATGAGACTTTTTGCCCTACCCTTCCTATTCACCAGAATTAGCTCCAAGTGACTACCACTTATTTCGGTCTTTAAACGGAATAAATAGAGAAAAACTTGTCACACGTTTTATTTCGTATCTCTAGTTCTAATATGTTTACAGATTGTGTCATTTTGTGTAGTATAAGTGATCCTAAATTGTTACTAATTTTCGTGTGAATAGGTAGAGTCAGGTTGAAGTTATTACTTATTTTGTGATTTCTTAATTAAAATCGAAGCGTACAGCCTTGGTGAAAATTCGAACATTTTCATTAAATTTTAAAGTTAAAAAATTTATCTTCTTTCTATTAATAATTCAGATGTGGAAAAGTTTCTAAGCTCAGCGCTGAATTCATCTATGGCATTTGGCCTAGTTCTTCATAAGCCAATCATAACGCTGAATCAGTAGCCTAGTCCATCTTGTTACTACTATAAATTAACCTCTTCAAACCCAGTCATAGGAACACTTGGCTAACTTCATGAACTAGTAAACTATAACTTATCGTTTCTTCTAGACTGGAAAATATGCTCTTCTTTCCGAATCAGTATTTTTCTGCAATCGTCTATTGAATAAATTGATATTTATTCAATTGGCAATTACAGAGAAATACTGGATCTGTTGATGATTATTCGAGTTGACAAACTGATAGATCTTAAAATGTATGGGGATGAACTGAAGCAGCGGCACAGCGTTCTTATGAAGGAGTACTGGAAGAAGAAGAAACTTCATAAAAAGAAGAAATTAAATTGTTGTAAATTAAATTAAAGTGGTCCTGTGTGGTCATTTCACATGGTGGTGCGCGCATAACACAACTATCACTTATATAATATTTTAATTATTTAATTAATTACAATTAATAATTAAATATCACAAAATATTTTTAGTTCAACAAGAGATCCAGTGATAAAGGAGGGCGCTATATTTATTTATATTTCATTTTGGGCATCTTGATTAGTTTAAGCAATTGTATATAAACAAATTTAATTTTTATATTCCAGTAATCTATTCAATGAAATATTAAATAATATCGGCCAAGCTCGGTGCGTGCCCGGGTTTCTTTGGTTCTCAATAACGGTTACTTATTTCTGTTTTTGTAAATTATCAAATTCTTTCATATTTAACGAATTTGATAGCAGATTATAGAAAGGAATAGTTGATTATTTAAAAAAAAAAAAAATTAAGGGTACTTTAGAGGAAGAAATTTTGAAAATTAGGCATTTATGCCCTCTAAGAGTACACCAATGACAATAAGAACTAAATTGTATTAAAACCCGCTTAACTTTACATTGATATAATGAATTTAATTAAAATTGTTATAGTCATTTCGAGGAAATTGTAAAAATGTGTAAAATGTATGATATAAAGTGGTACTTTTGGATAGCCAATTTTGACAGGAACAGTTGCTGTAAAATTCTGAAACATACAATCCTTAAATACACATTGTCATACGACTTTTCGTTTTTGAGGTAGATTGTTCACACACACGAACTATTTTGCGAGACTTGGTTATTTGGACAGCAGGGTCTTCAAAATGTGTATTTTCGTTGAAAACTCGGATTCGGAAATTTTCATGATTACAATAATTTCATTTCATATATAAATAAGCGAAAGTAAAAATGATAATAACTATTGTAAGTTAGATCGTACGAGCACAATTGGCCCATGGTACACTTGAAATCGCGTGGTAAAATGGAGATCTTGCTGTAGCGCATAAACATAATAAGTACATTTATAACCTTCATCACTTGACAAGATTTCACTTTATCATTAAAATAACTGAATCAATCAGTCTCAGACTTCAGTGTAAAAATAATTTTTTTTTTTTTTTTAACTTCATTTATTCACCCACACCTGTCATAAGCAATAACAATTTGCAGGTCTGCTCTCGCTTAGAGTACAGGTAGTGCCTTGATCGGCGTGATGGAGAGGAATGCCCAGCGGCATCCCTTCCTGTCTTGATTTTAGCATCTTTTTAAGCGAGGAAATCCCTCATCCAGCTCCTTTTGAGCCTCGTAAGTGTGTTTTCGGGAATGTTAAATGTAGCCATACTTGGTAAAAGTGTGTTAGTATGTCCATGTAAGTTATAGTCAAATTGATTGTAGTGTCCGTATGTGATCATTAACTGTTGCCATTTGAAGGTCTTTATGTAATCAAATGTTTGTTACGTACATGGAGCTTTGGTTATGGCCCTGAAAGGTTTGGACTGAAAAGTTTGTAGTTTTTTTATGTGGGTCGTTTTGGCTATTCCGTGAATTTGTGAAGCGTAGGTCCATATGGACGTAAGTAGATAATTGTAAGTGTAATAATAAAAATGTTGAAACGATTTTTTATAGGTAGAATGTGTTTCTGGGAGTATTGTGTTCTTTTAACTTTACTCTATTTTTGATTAAATTAAAACTATCTATGTATAGGGAAAGACAGATAATTATTCAAAAAAGATTTTGTCGCCATATTGAATTCATCCTGATACTGGCTGGTACCTCCATTAATCTCTTCAGGTATCTTCCAGGTAGAGGGTTGGTCATGTTTGAATGTTTCAACAATGGGGAAGGAACTATACTTTAACAAATTATCAATATGTTCTGGGATATATTTATTATTTTAGGATCATATTCACATATTTTTTTTATTGAACCAAACATAAAATTAAATTAAATTTGCCTTCTATCAATTTCTTTGCAATGAGCAGATATTTTTTCAGCTTCACAGCGTCCCATCACATCCAGGATATAAATCAGATCAGCAGATTTAGGAGTTTCTTGTACGTTTAATGATTTCTGTCGGAGGATTCAAGTTGTACGTCAGTCTTTGGTGAAAATTGTAGTTTTATTACACGCTGTCCAAAATTGTTGGGCCGTTTAAGTCAACTATCCTTCGCAAAAATTTTGACTGAAAGCACAGAATTTTTTTAATGTTGGAGTTTTTAGCAGTATCCCACAGTTCTATGCCGTACACAGGCGGATCTACGTTGGAGGAGGGGCTTTCGGGGTGAAACCTCCCCCCCAAAATTGTAGAATATAACCATGTTTTTTGGGAAAAAAGTATCTAAAAGTATTATTATTCATCTAATTACATTTAATTGTACTTAAAGAATCACTGAAACACCATTTCATATAGGTAGTTAGTTTCTATATTTCTTCAGAAGTAATTATCATAATACATACATACAAAAAAAAAAAAACTTTCGGGCTGAAGTCCTCCCAAAAGTAAATCTTGGATCCGTGATGACGTAAGCCCAAATTGGTTTAAGTAAAACTTTGAAAAGGATTAGTTTGTTAGCTAAAGATAATTTTGAACGTCTGTCAAAACGTTTAATTCTATTCGTTTTTGTTTAATGTGAGTCCTCTAAGTAAGTCTTTTTTGTCTAGGCTAAATTTGAGTGAAAATATGATTATTCAAGAAGGCTGTGATGCAAGCTGCACTAGATTTTTTACCTTCCTACCTATACTAAGTAAGGAAAGTATTAAGATCTGGTCAAATTTGGACGGATCTATACGTTTCAGAGCCCTCTGAGTTTAGCATGTTTTT